GTACCTAGCTAATGCACTTACAAATTAGACAAACTTGAACTATATGTACATCCACTTCTTTTCACTTTGAAAAAATTAAGAACATGGTGTGGTAGAAGAAAGGTATAATGAGGGGCTAAAACTAATGCTAAAATAAGATTACTATTTAGTGAAGTTTTAATCATGACTTTACCCAAGTTGGACCATATCATATTCTAATGATGGTTGTTCACGTAATACCAAATTATGATGTGAGAAAAAGATCCAAAGCTAATCTTTGTTGAGCTAACATGAAAAAAAAAAAAAAAAAAAGTATAATGGAAAAATCACTACCCTTGCAAAGCCAAGACAAGAAGATAGAGACCTATTTGATTCGTGATGACACCTAAGCCATGACCATGACATTGGTCCTCAAATCTTGTTTTGCTTTTAACACACACACCCCCTTTACTTTAATCTTCTTCAAACACACCAGATGAAAAATGCCCCTCTTCTTCACTTAAATTACACAAATGGCAATTCACACCCTATTTTAGCTATTTGGCTCAGTAAATCCAAATTCCAATTTTTGTTTTTTTAAAGAGAGAATTACTGAATTTATTTTTAAGAGTGTATGAGTCTTGATTTTATTATTTGTTCTCTATTAATATCTTTTTCTTTAATATAGTTATTTGACTATATTAGACAAAAAAGAATAAAACTAGAATGAGAAAGCTAATAAAACTAGAGGAAACACATGTTCAAATGAAATCATTAATAAAAGAATACACATAATTAACTAGACAACAGGCCGTCAAATTTTCTTCTCCTAACTCAGTATTTCTTATTAAATTAAAATTCCAAAGTTTGGTTTTATTTATAATAGTTACTAAATAATACTTTTTTTTATTAATTTCTTTAATTTTTTATGCAAAGTATATTTCATTAATTTTGCTCAAAAAAAGTATATTTCCTTAATTTTCAAATTTGTCATAATTTGTATTAATTCTAAATATTATCTAAATTTTATTTAATGTATTTATCACTCACTCTGATATTTATTAGAGCTATATATATTTTTATACCTCACATTTTAAATTTATTTAAAAAATATACCTTTAATATATAATCTCATCAAATACGTACCTTCACATAGGCAAATCCAAACGCTATATCAATTAAAACTCAATTTTGACCTCCTAATACCCAATATACCATGAATAAAGAAAAAAAAAAACACTAAATCCTCTCCTGACTTCACATTACCATGACCTTAACCACCATCCACCCTGACCTCCATCAGACCCATGTCCAAAGTACTCCAATGTGCAACGCGCAGCGATGGGAAGGCTTGCGAAATCCGCGTTCTTGGTCGATTAGGGGTTGTGAGTTCGCCGCTGAGGTGGTTCCGTCACTGACTTTGATGATGAGAACGGCCATGTCAGAGACAAGAAGGGGCTTGTCTCGCTTCCATGCCAGGAGAAGCATGTAGACTGGTTAAAACTAGTCTCAATTTATACTTTTAGTGTTTTGGGTAAATTTCTTGTTGTATGATAAAAGATCTGTGAGATTTTGGTAAGGTTCGTTTTTGGGTTTAGAGGTTGGTTTTAATCTCCGTGATATTTCATGATTAGCCCAAAAAAAAATCTCCACGGTATTTCATATATGGGTACCTGGCGTCTTGATGAGGAGGTTATTTACCGACAAATCATGTATTTGAGTTTAAATATTTGCGAGTCTTCAAGCATTTTTATTAATTTAATGTGTTTTTAGTGTTATTTTGTAGGAAAAATAATAAAATGGGACTTAGTGGCATTTTGGAGTAAAAAATTAGGGCAAAAAGCACTCAAGGCCGCACAAGGGCCCTCTGGGCAGAACCACCTGCATGGGTGCGCCACCTGAGGCGCGCGGCCGTGACACTGAGACGCTCGGTTGCACCTCATTCGTGCTGATGACGAAAATTGGGGCATTTTTCAGCCTTTGATCAATATGGATGGTCAATTTTGGACCCTTGGATGAGTGTGACTGAGATTTTCTTCATGTTTGAGCATACTTATCAAAAGAAACCCTAGTTCCCAACTTGAAGATGATGAGATGCACAAAGATTCCTAGAGAGAGAAGCTTGGAGTTAGAGATTCTTGAAGAATGCTTGTGAGAGATTCTTGAAGATTTGAAGACTTGAAGTTAATCCACAAAAGTTTTATCTTCCTTCTCCCTTTTCTTTGTAGTTTTTTAGTTTTTGTTCTTGAATTTGTGATTTTGGTTATGGATTCCTCTATGTTGAGCTAGATTTCATATTCTAGGGCTTGATGTAGCTTTATTTGAATCATGTTTTGATTATCTCGTCAATTGTTAGTTAAATTCCATTTTAATTTATTTATATCTCGTCAATTATTACTTGAACAGTCTTCTCTATGCTTAATGTTTTTAATTTATTATGTCAATGAGTTAGACAATTTTAGATTGTGATTTTGATGCTAGTGAGAGATTGATTTCATAGTCCTGAATTGGAAAACATAGTCTAGGATGTTGTGAGCTCGGGATGAGATCAATACTTAGATAATCTCGTTGAGAGTCTAGGATATTGTGAGACCGGGAAGTGATCAAGACCTTAATTATCAACTATGATTTAGATTGTTGTGAGGCCGGGAGGCGATCGACATTTGAGTTCTTATTTAAGGGCTAAACTTAATGTGTGTATGAGTAAACGAGTAAATAAGAATATTGATTTAGGTATTCATGTTTATGATTTTGTTTGACGCTCAAGAGAAGTAGTTAGGTTAAATTAGGTCCATTGATTAATGAATTGAGTGGAATTGGCTAGCATTGACTTGATAAGATGAACATATGAATGATAAGGTGAAGTTAAGTCTCTAGTACATTTGTGCATAAAAGTTTCCATATTTTATTTTGTTTTTGTATTTATATTTGTTCTAGTTCTATTTTTATTTCATTGAGTTCGGTTGCCTAGATAAAGTTGAGTTACGATAATCACGATACTTAGCAGCAATTTAATACCTAATTTCTGTGGAGATGATACTCACTCACCCTATATTATCAAAACTTGACACCGTACGCTTGCGGATGAACATGTTTCTTGGTAATGGCAAATGTGGGTAATGCCCATGGCAAATCTGGGTAGTTTGGGTTGAATTTAAACCAAGTCCATGGCCTGTCTTGGCCACTATTCAACTCTAGAGGCATTTTTTTTCTCAAGCTAATTTCTTTTCATTTGTGTTTTTAATTGTAGTTTTTTTTATTTATAATTTTGGATTTTCAGTACTTCTTTCTTTTTTGAGGGTAATCTGGATATTTTTTGGGTTAAAATGGATATTGACTAAGAAAAAGGTATGAATTTGTGTATTAAATGTAATGTGATGGTATGCATTTGATGCAATTAAAAGTTGAGGGTATATTTTTTGAATAACCTTAAAATATAAGGTACAAAAATGTATATAATCCTATTTTTATTTCTTACATCCCAAAATGGAATAACCTTTAATAGCTCTTGGCTCTCTCTGTGAAGAAATTGTTTCAACTTTGCCAAAGTTGGAGAAATCAAGTAATAATTATTGTCAGTAACAGCAACTTCTACCTTGGGGGTGAATAATAGCAACCAAGGGGTAAATGAACATGGACATTCTCACAACTGGGCCACATGTCTACCTGGGCCCACAAAATTGGAATGGATCATGGGTCCAATGGAGCAATTATCGAGAAGTGTCGGTCAAAACCAGTAATTCCACGCAGTCAAACGCCAGGGACACAAACGTAATTAGGTCGCTATCTCTCTCTCTCTGATGAGCTATCTGCCTTCTAAAGTCTCATCTCATATTTGTAAAAGAAAAAGCGCGAACAAATTTAAATTTCTTTATAATGTGTTACGCATATATAACAATACAATAAATTAAATGAGATGGATAATAATGTGATTTTTTTTCACAATTATATAAGATATATTTTTAAATGACAGTTATTTTTGATATTTTCATTGTCATTGTAATGTGAATAAAAATCACAAATAATTATTAAGATAGACTATTAGCAATTATTATAATTAATAAAAGAATTTTACCTGATAGTGACATAAAAAATTCAAAACTAATATTATTCTAGAAATATTTTTTTTCTGTCTCTCTTTTTCTCTTTATTCTCTGTTACGGTTTTGTGAGGTTCTTGTTGCGTCGCCGCTCCATTTTCTTCGCTTAGGCCAAAGTCCGGCCCGGGGCCTGGCCTTAGGATCTCTAGCTTAGGGGAGCAATTTTATAAAATAAGAAATTAGTACTTAATACTTACAAGCCAAATAAATAAGATTAAATTATCGACAAATTTTTTTTATCAGCAACCTGAGGGATAGGAACGTAATTTGGTTTCTATTCGTCATTTAAGTCGTAGGGGTTGTTCTTTTGCACATTTAAGTTAGAGTGATTTGAGTGATGATTTTGAGTTAAATTTGAGTTATAACTTGAGTTGAAATTGTAACTTGAGTTTGTGTTTGGATGTGCACATTTGAGTTATGATTTGAATTGAGAATCTTTTTGAGTTTGTATTTGAGTGTGTCAAAACTTAAATTTGTATTTAGATTATTTTAATAAAAACTCAATGGTGATGAAAAATTTTAATAGGATAAATGGGTGAGATTTTATTTTCTTTTCGTTGCAAATGCATAGAAAAAAAATCATCTCAATCAGAATTAAAATTAAAAATTATGACATTTTTAAGAATAAAAAAAATATTATTTATTAATTTGAGTTTAAATTTTATAAACTTAAATTGAAGAGAAAAATTAAATTCAAATTTAATTCCAAACTCAAATTTAAATTTAAATTTAAATAAAATTTTAACTCGAATTTAAATTTTTTCAAGTTTCATCGGAAAAGAATAACCCGTAATTTGGTCGCAAATCCAACAACAGCGTCATATTCGTAATTAAACGGAAAGAAGAGGGTAGTTACTTAACAAGCGCTTTTCAGACAAGGTTGATTTGTGGTATTATATAGGGCCCACCTCACTCTCTCTCTCTCTAGATACTCTCACACTCTCATTCTCACTCTCTCCTCTCTCTTTCTCTCTCCTCTCTGTCTTTGTTTCTGTGTCTTTGCTCAAGCTTCCACTCACTACTTTCTCTCTCTTTCTCTGTGAACACTCAAAGCCCCAAACTTTGCTTAGATCTGAAACTTCGCAAACCCCGAAGACCCCTCGACGACGACGACGACGAACACGATCTAGGTAAGTTAAGCTCGAGCATTTCGTCTCTGTTTCTCTTGGATTTGGGGAGGTTTTTACTTGTTTTTGATCCGCGACACTGGTCAATGGATGGCGATTTAGAAGTCAATTTTGTGCGATTGTGTTTGATTTATGGAGTTGTACATGTTCTTGAGCTTGAGATCTTGTCGGATTTGGTTCCGAATTTGGGATTTGAGTAGAATGTGAGTTAGATTGCTCTGTTTGGTTCCGGAGAAAATGTTGCAGTGGTTGCTGAGAAAATGTTTGTAGGGTTCTGTGGAAATGAGAAATGTCTGCTTGGTTGATCAGAAAATGTCAGCGAAAGAAAGTTTCTTTTTTCTTTTTCTAATTTTTATTTTTGTGTGGTATGTTATTTGAAGTACCTAGAAGCCCTGGATGAGTTGTGATATTTCAAGATTTGGAATTTTGATTTTATTTTTTTTCATTCTCATTTCTTTGAAAAGAGTACTGAAAATAAAGTTTTAATTATTTGAGAAGTTGTAATATGTTTTGTGATCGGCGTGATCTTTGTTTGAAAATTGAGTTATATGCTTATGGGAATTTAAAAAGTGAGGTTTAGTTCGTTGAATGACATGAATTTCTTTGATTGATTAAGTTATAAAGCTTCTTTGATAGATTTGTTTTGGCATCTTATTCATATATATAGCTGTATAAATCTCTCCTAAAAATGTTGGGTTTGTTTATGATTATTACATTTGAGACTTTTATGCCTACGCATTCGGAAGTGGTTATTCATGTTTTTATTTTTATTTTTATTTTTTCGTTTTCTTTTATGTTCATTTGTTTTGGTCAGCTTTCTTTCTTTCTTTCTTTCTTTCTTTCTTTATTTTTTTTTTAATTTTTTTAAATTTTTTTTGGGAACCTAACAACCAGTTTATTGTTTTTGTGTATGGTTGATGTTGACAGGTGTTTATGTTTTACTTGACTGGTCAAGTTGTGATTCTTCCTGGTCATTAAGGTAAATAATGACGTTCTTGTAATTTTTGCACTTTTGGAGAATATTAATCTGGCATGAAAAGCATTAAAATGACGTTCGAATGTTTTCTGTTGTGCAGTTTGGATTGTGGTTTTGACGACAATGGCAGTGACCGATTCTCAAAATCCTCTTCTTGGAGAAACCACTTGTGGTTCTCTACTCCAGAAACTGCAGGTAACTTCCATTTTTGTATTTTATCCTTCAGTATATTGGCTTCACTTATCTATGGTATACAAAAAATTCACGATGATGTACCGCAGGAAATTTGGGATGAAGTCGGAGAGAGTGATGACGAACGCGACAAGATGCTCCTTCAGTTAGAGCAAGAGTGCTTGGATGTGTACAAGAGGAAGGTTGAGCAGGCTGCAAAGTCGAGGGCACAGCTTCTTCAAGCATTGTCTGATGGCAAACTTGAACTTTCCACTCTTCTGTCTGCTCTTGGAGAAAAGAGTTCCGTTGGCATAGTGAGTATTACTAGATTTAACTTCTTTGCCCCAATACTCTGAATCTGTGCTTTCTGAGTAAACATGGATGATAATGTACTTTTGGGTTTGTTTATAGCCAGAGAAAACTTCAGGAACAATCAAGGAACAACTTGCGGCCATAGCACCAGCGCTTGAGCAGTTATGGAAACAGAAAGAGGAGAGAGTAAAGGAAATTGCTGATGTTCAGTCTCAGATCCAAAAGATTTGTGGAGAAATCGCAGGGAACTCGAATCTGAGTGAGCAGGCAGGGACGCCTGTTTTTGACGAGTCTGACCTGACTCTGAAGAAGTTAGATGAGTATCATGCCCAGCTTCAAGAACTTCAAAAGGAGAAGGTGAATCTCTCATCCTTATGGAACAGTTTCACACTCATTTTTTCTTTGATTATTAGCTTATACACCCGCTGCGAGTTCATCGGTGGCAATTCCTCGTTTGGTCTTGCAGAGTGATAGGTTGCACAAGGTGCTTGAATTTGTTAGCACTGTGCATGATCTTTGCGCTGTCCTTGGGATTGACTTCTTCAGTACTGTTACTGAGGTCCATCCTAGCTTAAATGACTCAACCGGCATGCAGTCCAAGAGCATTAGCAATGATACTCTATCTAGGCTGGCTAAGACAGTCTTAGCACTGAAAGAAGATAAGAAGCAGAGGCTGCATAAGGTAATGCATTTTATGTTTTTACTCTTTGCATTTCTAATAAAAAAAATTCACTTCTTTCCTTGCTTGACTCATCACATCTTGCTGCTGAACTCAGTTAAATTTAACATGTATCTTAATTCGCAGCTCCAAGAGTTAGCTTCTCAACTAATTGATCTATGGAATTTGATGGATACTCCTGATGAGGAAAGGAGTCTATTCGATCACGTTACCTGCAATATTTCGGCGTCAGTTGATGAGGTGACTGTTCCTGGGGCTCTGGCTCTGGATCTGATCGAGCAGGTAATTATTATATCTCAATTTGTTCACATATCTGAAAATTTAAATATAGTCAGTGGTTTTTTTTTTTGACTCCTGGTATTTTCCTTTGTCAAGGCCGAGGTGGAAGTGGAGAGACTTGATCAGCTCAAATCCAGCAGGATGAAGGAAATTGCATTTAAGAGGCAAGCGGAGCTTGAAGAGATATTTGCTCGTGCCCACATCGAGATAGATCCAGAAGCTGCCAGGGATAAAATAATGGCCATGATTGATTCTGGAAATGTGGAGCCTGCTGAATTGTTAGCTGGCATGGATAATGAGATAGCAAAAGCAAAAGAGGAAGCTCTTAGCAGAAAGGAAATATTGGACAAAGTTGAGAAATGGATGTCAGCCTGTGAGGAAGAGAGTTGGCTTGAAGATTACAATCGGGTATTTATTTTTTTTATTTATTATCTCAATACGGATCATTAATATCTGCATGTGTGTGTGTGTGTGTGGTGTGGGGGTTTTTTTTTTTTTTTTTTTTTTTTTTTTTTTTTTTGTAACTGACTGTGAGGGTGAATTAGGATGTGCATGGCTTTTCATACGTGCAACCCATTTAGATTTTTGAAACTGTTAATCTTTTCTATGAGACAAGTGAATGTAATATAATTATCGTGCTTAAACAGGACGATAACAGGTACAATGCGAGTAGAGGTGCTCACTTAAACCTCAAGCGTGCAGAAAAGGCCCGGATCCTTGTTAATAAAATTCCAGGTATGGATAGAAATAAGGAGAAAGACAGTTTGAGAAATTAATTGAATTGGTGATTGTTTTTTGATAGGGATTGATATGCCATACTGGGGAAATATACTTTGAACAATTGATCACTCAATTTGCATTTCTAACCTGGGCTCACAAATTGAGTTTGGGGAATTTTTGGGTTTCCAAAAAAAAAAAAAAAAAAAACTAATTCTTCAAGGGAATAATGAGTTGATTCAATATCTGCATGATTTTAACTAGCATAATAATGTCCAAACTTGTCTGATTTGTTGGTTTCTCGGTCATGCAGCTCTTGTTGACACCTTGGTTGCCAAAACTCGTGCTTGGGAGGAAGATCGTGGCATATCGTTTACTTATGATGGCGTCCCCCTTCTTGCGATGCTAGATGAATATGCCATGCTCAGGCAGGAAAGAGAAGAAGAGAAGAGGAGGATGAAGGTGAGTATTTAATGAATGTATGAAATGATAACTCATGATTTTTGAACTTCAATGTCCCTAAGGAGGAGCGATTACTCTTAACATCGTTGTGAAAGTTAGTTTTTCCCTCATAACACCACTTATTGTTCGTTTTTTCTGATGCTCTGAATTGGGTTTGTACAGGATCAGAAAAAGTACACAGACCAACAACACACCGAACAGGAAGCCATATTTGGCTCAAAGCCTAGCCCTGCCCGACCAGTTGGAACGAAGAAGGTGGTGGGTCCCCGCGTGAACGGGGGAGCCAACGGAACTCCAAACAGAAGGCTATCGCTTAACCAAAACGGAAGCAGGTCCGCCGCAAAGGACGCGAAGAGGGAAAATAGGCTTAGTGCTCCTGTGAACTACGTTTCAATGTCGAAAGAGGATGCTGCCTCCCATGTTTCCGGCACTGACCCAGTTCCGGCTTCTCCATGACATAAGAAGAAGAGAGGGAGGGGGAGAGAGAGAGAGATCTGTAGGTTTATACCTTTTGTTATATTACTACTGTTATTAGTTACTACTGTTAGGGATGTATCCTGTGAAACTGTGAGGGAAAAGTTGGAGAGTGAGCTGTTAGCTGTGTATGTTATACTTGAGACATTTTAAGCCTTTTTACGACCCACGTTTTTTTTTTTCCTTGTTCGAAATAATTTGCTTATCGCTAATGAATTGAGTAGAATTTGCACCTCTTGGTTATCTTTAGAGTTTAGATGATACGTTAGACTGCTATTGAATTCAGGAATGTGAAAAATTCTCTTTCAATAAAGGTAAAAAAAAAAAAAAATTCTACCCAAAAAAGAAAAAAAAGAAAAACGAGTAGACACAATAAATCGAATATGAAAGCTTGTATAAATGTCAGGTGTTGTCAAAATCAAAATCATGTCTCAAAAATATTTTTAAATTTGATCTTCAGGTATCATATGTGTAATACACTTGGTCTAGAGCCAAAGAAATTGTTATTAATTGATTGTAATTGTTACGAATTTTGGTAAATAGATAATTAGAAAGGAAAGAAAATGAGACATGTACAAATTATTATTTTATTCATCTACTTGTACATTTTTATTTTTTGAAAAATACTTAGTCGTATCACCAATAAAAAGTGGTTCTTACATTACAGGACTCACATTCTATGAGTAGGTGGTGTTACATTCTTCTTTTTTGTTTGTTTTGTTTTTGTTTTTGAAAATGAAGATAAAAAAGTAATTTTGGTTAATTATTTGGTTTAAAATCCATCAATTGGAAAGATAAAATTGATGGTTATTTTCCTTTCCATTCTCTCTCGCTCTTTTTTTTTCTTCCTTAACAAACAAGCCACTTTAACCTTCTTCATCTAATGATCATTATTTGGTTTAGTACTATGAGCTTGTTCCTATTGCATTTCTTTCTGGAGAAAATGTGATCGTTTAAGTTATCTACTTACGCACTTAAATTTTCTTAATCCCTTTGCTTTTCTCTCTTTGAATCATTATCGATTTGAGTGTTAGAGTGCTAAGGGATAACGTTTATTTTGGAGATCTTTTCCCCAATCCTGCAAGTGATTACGATCCTCTTACAAATTTAATCCTGGATTTCAGCTTCTACACTAGACACACGGTTAATAACTATACTTTTTATACTTAGCATCTGTAAAGCTATTATTGATGTGTCAATAACAAATTTAACATTTAAGGTAGAAAATACTCACTAATAAAGTGTTATTTATTGTGTTAAATGAGCCATATGTTATATTTGTGGTAAATTTGCCACTAAATATGACATATGACGAATTTGACATTTGATTATTATTGGATGATATGTTTGAGGAATTATTCAGTACACTGGGTGTACTACGTCATATTATTTATGTGGTACACTCGGTCAATGAGATTGTATCATTTAGTACACCCATCCAATAAGCTCTCCACTTTTATTTTTCTCTTTCCTAATAGATATTCAATGCTAGGAAAGAGAAAAATAAAAGTGGGGGGCTTATTGGATGAGTGTACTAAATGATACAATCTCATTAGCCGGGTGTACCACATAAGTAATATGAGGTGGTACACCCGGTGTACTAAATAATTCCTCGATATGTTTACTTTTCATTTAATTATTGCTCAAATTATTTTAAAATTAAAAGTTTACTTTTATAATTTTAAAATTAAAAATTTACTTTTACAACTTGTAAATAAAAATATCGTGTTAAATATACCATTATCATATTATTTGGTACTAATATATAATTGATATTAGTATTTATATTAGAGATTATCTTAATTGAATTATACTAAAAAATTTTAAAGGGTTGGCCTTGAAAGTTTTTTTTTCCCTAGGGAAATTTTATTGACACCCCTAAAATTTATAAAGGCAGTCCAATTTTAATAAAAAAAGATAAAAAACTGGGACATCTAAGAGGAATTTGAAACAATGGAAGACCAACGACACCCTTTTAGAAACCTACATCAGTAAAGGCCACCTCTTTTCTTAGTGTCTGTTCTGCAGAACAAAACTAAAAAATTTTGTTTTGAGAGTGGGAGATGACAGACAAAATTACAGCTTTGATTAAAAACTTGATATTGTTGTTTTTGTGAGTTTGATTTGATAAGTTGTCTTTTTTAGTCTTTTTAATTGATTATGGGGTGTATTCATAAATGGTTTGGATGTAATTCTCTGTATTTGGTTCAACTATTTGAACTAAACAATTCAATTCGAATTGTGACTAAAAATTTAAATTAGTGTTTGTTTTAAAAGTAAAGAGTGACCATTCAAACCATCAACTACGATTCAAAAGGTTGATTTTAAAATTTATACGCCCCCTAAAATTTACAATTCGGATTGTTGACAACAGTTCAAACATTATTGTTTTTTATTTTTTTTTCTCTTCAACTTCAAGCTTAAAAATGTCATTATTTTTTTGTTTCAACTCTAATTAAGATGATTTTTTTATATGTTCAAAATAAAAAAGGAATAATTCTCCATTCATATTGCAAATTTAAATATGTCATTTACAGGGAAATAATCATGCCTGAAAACTGTAATGACAATTTTCAACATCTACCAAAACACCATTCGGATTTTATTCTCAATTAAAATTATAATTTATTTGCATATCCAAACGGTTCGAATTGCAATATAAATTACCACAATTTAAATTCTACAATTCAAACTAAATCATTACAATTCGAACGGTGAACCAAACCATTATTCAGCTAGGGGTGTTCACGGAATCCGCGAATCCAATTGATTTGTCAAATCCAATTCAATTCGAAGTTTTCGATTAGATTAAAAATGGTGTTGAATCGGACACGGATTGGGATTTTCCCAATCCGAAGGTTTTGGATCGGATTACAGATTGAGCACTTTTCAATCTGTGAAATCCATGAATCCAAAATCATATATATACATATATAAATAATTTTTATAATTATATATATAAATTTTTATAAGTTAATTTTTTTTTTTAAAATCTCGTATATACTTAGTGACTCATATCAAATATCCTACTACAAAGTCCATATCTAATAGATAGATAGTAAAAATTACAATATGAATCTTTTTTTAAAGTTGAATTAAAATTTGGCTGACTTTTAAAAATATTACATGTATAGCTCAGTTTTTGAAATACATTTATTGGCAAACTAGAAATACCCCTTTAATTGATTTTGTTTGACATTTTTTTTTTTTTTGAGAAATTTTTGCTCCGCGTGTTTATCTGTAACGAATTTCCCTATTGTTTTCTTAATTAATTTCCTAAAAAAATGATCCAACTAATTCATTGACTGACTATTTTTTATTGGGAAATAGTAGGAAATAGGCCAATATGAAAAATTTAAGAAAGTATATAGGCCATTTTTTAGTTATAGAAATTAATAGGCCATAACTTGTCAAGTTACGGTTCATAACCAGATAAGTTATAGATAAACTTGTCAAGTTATGGTTCATAACCAGATAAGTTATGGACGAAAACAATAATTTGGCCTATTTATTAACTTATGTAAACTATTGGCCTATTAATTTTAATTCATCTCAAGTCTTGACTTATTTTCTTCTTTCACCCTTTTTTATTCTTAGAGACAACCAAGCATTATCTACAAAGAATATTGAATTTTGAATAAACAAAATCTAAAAGCAGTCAAACTAATGATTATAGGTCCGGTTTACACATTTAAATCACTGATTTTAATTTATTAGTGAGAATTTTATGAGAGAAAAAATTTTTAAGTTTAAATTCTTTATGAGATAGAAAATACTATAACAAAATTAGAATTATGAGTTTGAATATATCTTCTAAATACCCCTTATGTGATTTGTTGATGCAAATCTGTTGAAGCAGCTTTAGGAGAATCTAAAATTTAGATTTATTTAAAATTGTATCTGTATTAAATGAGCTTTTGCGATTTAAAAAAGTACTAATTACTGTTTTAGCAAAGATTATGGAACCAGTGTCTTGTGTGTGTGTATATGAATATATTAGTACTCAACAATTATGGGGATTTCAATTAAAAAAACATGAGCATCTGATAAATACGAATTTTAAATCTTTTTAATGAAAAATCAAACATAGATAATGACAGTTAAAAACACCTGATAACATCATTAATTTAATGAGTTATATTTTAATGACATGATACGGTGTATTGTTAAACAAAATAATGTTATTAATTTAATGAGCATATGCTTTAATGATAGGATACGGTGTATTGTTAAATTAATGAGCGTGTATTTTAATGATAAGATATAGTGTATTGTTAAACAAAATAATGTAATTAATTTAATGAGCATGTATTTTAGTGATAGGATATCGTTTTTTTTTTTTTTTTTTTGGATAAAGGGAAATTTCATTACTAAAAGGAATGAAATACAAACTCGACATAAAATCATAAATGACCCCGAATACAATGAAATTCGACCCGAATAACTGGACTCACTATTAAAAATAATGATAGTACAAGCGCGAATACTAATGCTGATACATAAAGGGAAAAAGCCCGATCAACACATAAAATTCGAGCATGGTTGAAGCTAGCTGAAAAAGACCAAACAGTTGACGGATTAACCCATTCGAGCGACACCAAACTCCTAGTATAGGGGACATCTACACGGCCTAAGGAAATTCCTAACCAGACTAAACAACCCACACCGACAGTGATCGACTCGACCTGGTGGAGGGTCATAACGAACACTAGGAGGTGTTAAAATCACAACCTCCTTTATTATCAACACACCAAAACAAAAAACAAACACATAACATAAAATCAATACTAAACACAAGTCCAGAGCGCGGCCACCACAACGAAGCACGTGTCCGAGACCCCTCAACGCCAACCACCATGAAGCCTCAATCACCCAACTATGTCCAACTGCCCATCAAAAATCATCAACGGCCCCAACCTTGCCATCCCCACGGCCAGACCAAAGGTACTGCTGGCCACCTACAATCGGCGGCACGAACCCAACCACAACCACAGTTGGATCCCTTAACACTTACAGTAGGCAGACGACAACTAAAACTGCCCAAACCGTGGCAGATCCTAGCACTATCTGACCACTCTCTCCCACCACAATCTGACCTAGTCGATATGAGAGCATATCAACAACAGAGAAAATCCCTCTCCCAGTTGCGCACCCAGTCTCTGATTCC